GCTTCTTACTAAAAGCATACCCCACCAAATAAATTTCTTTTGTCCTTCACTAAACACTTCAGAATACACTAATTCCGCAGAGCTAGCACCATAGAAACAAATAACCCTCCATCCAAGGGAGAGTCAGCTGAAGTGCTGGTTAATAGAATGCCAGATACAGAGATTATATTTATATAAATATCTTTCAAATGAAAGCTCAGTAGGGGTATTTCTTAAAATACTGTCAATTTGATATGTGCAGCATTGCTGAGGTAGAATTAATGTCACGGAGCTAGCTGCAAAATTACATAGACTTCTATCTTCCTGTTAATGCCTCTGTTACTTGACTTTTCACAGCTGTTATTAAACGTCATGTCATCAAAAGAGAGAAGAATTAAAGTGACTTTGACATTTGTGAGCACTGTGGCAAGACAATGTGATATCTAATTTGATTCAGTTAAGGCTTAAAATTATGCTAATTACTCATAAATTCAACATAGATGACTTAAAATTATATTTATGGAAAAAAGCCTAATAATGGTAAAAAGGAAATTTATTCTTCTGTAATTATAAAAAAACACTTCATAAATATATTCTTCAAGAAGATCCTTCCTGAGATCTTTCAGGAAGTTCTATTATTTAAATGTGTGTGTTACAGAGGCTTATCTCACTACATAGCTGAAGTCTTAAAAATAGAAAAATAACATCTGGGAAACCCAAAGATATGAAATATCAGGGTATTTAAAAGAGAAAACCAACAGAAAAGTCAATTAAGTCCTATATACAATAGGTCATTTTATTATTAGCTTTTCAGGAACTCTCTTATAGAGCTCAAAAATTCCTCTGGAACTTGCTGAATGCCTGGGAATGACAAACTTAACTTGGAATCTTCTTTCGCTTGTCAGTTTCAATCAGACCTTTAATGCTATTTCAGTAAAGCTTTCTGAACCAAAGATTTTGAAATGGCTTTGATCTGACATGATTTTAAGACACAAATCTGTTAAAATTGCTAAATAAATATAACTTGTAGACTATGCAGGGATTTAGGATCTCCTGATAAGACAGTTTCCACTGCAGTGGGCAGAATGGTGCCCATTCAAAGGAATAGAAATATACCCCTCATTACAAAAATGACCATTTATATCAAAGGAAAATAAATATGATCTAAATTGCAGCAAACTGAGCTGAGAATTCTAAAGCTCATTCCCTGATTTCATAACTCTGCACAGGTTCTTCATCTGTTCTGACCTGACATTCTATCATTAAACAAAAAGTTACTGCCATATCACTGGTTATCCAGTCTAATAAGCACACAGTATCTGTACAACTTTTTAACTTCTCTGAAACAAATGCTACTATTTGGTAATAACAATATTGCTATTTTTAAAATAAGCATACTTTTAAAATAAGTTCTTGGCTGGTTGGATTCTGCCTAAAAAAACTTCTGACTAAAGGTAGGAAATACATTTTCAAAAAGCTTGCAAAGTCAAAGGAACATTTCTATATAAATTTCTGAAACCCCCTCTCAAATTCTGTATCACTTCCTTAGATAGGTAAGATTGTCACAAAATTAAACTTGTTTGGGGCTTTCCTGGTGGCTCAGTGCTAAAGATTCTGCCTGCCAACACACAATTAAACTTGTTTCACCATGACACCTTAACTGAGTGCTGTTAGTATGTTTAGTAGAAATTTTCCCTCTTTAGTTGTAATCTTACATTAGCTTCAGGTAGACACAGATGGTCGCATATTGAGTATTTTGCTTGTTTCTTTGCTTAAAATATTTTTCACAATTAGAAAACCTGCATCTAAATTTAGGAGATTGTGAATTATGCATATAAGCTATGTGCAACTAAGGTATCTCTTTAAAGAAGGAAGAATATAAAATACAAAAATAGATGATTTCAAATGCCTCTATTAAATAAACCATGGGAACCATTTAAAATTCTAGACAGCATAGAAATGTATGGGCTACTAGATCTCACTAGTTAATTGTCCTAATATATTGCTATGTTCCTAAATTGACCATTTTTAATTCAATGAATCCAAGTAAAATTAGATACACTTAACCTAATCAAAGTTGATATTTTACATTGGAGTTCCTCCTAAATATTCTGGGCAAGTGACTTTTCCACTTGTCAATTTCACATAATTGCTGTTGTTCAGACCCTAAGTCATGTCCACCTCTTTGCATCCCCACGAACTGCAGCATGCCAGGCCTCATTTCAAATATCTCCAGGAGTTTGCTCAAATTCACATCTTTTGAGTCAGTGATGCTATCTAACCATCTTCCTCTGCCGCTCTATTCTCCTTTTGCCTTTAATCAGGGTCTTTTCCAATGAGGCCACTCTTCTCATCAGGTGGCCAAAGTATTGGAGCTTTAGCATCAGTCCTTCCAATGAATATTCAGGGCTGATTTCCTTTAGGATTGCAGTTTGATCTCCTTGTTATCCAAGGGACTCTCAAGAGTCTTCTCCAGCACTACTGTTCAAAATCATCAATTCTCGAGCACTCAGCCTTCTTTATAGTTCAGCTCTCATATCTGTACATGACAACTGGAAAACCCATAGCTTTGACTGTATGAACCTTTGTCAGCCAAGTAATGTCTCTGGTTTCTTACATGCCGTCTAGATTTATTATAACTTTTCTTCCAAAGAGCAAGCGTGTTTTAATTTCATGGCTGCAGTCATCACTTACAATGTTGCAAATGTTAGACATGAGATACTGACACCACAGAGATATATGTGAGATATTCCCTGACCTCAAGGAGACTGAGGTGCTAAACAAGTGAGCTTAGTAAAGTAATGCTTACTGTAAAGGTTCAGTAAGTACTGTGTTTGAGAGACAGTGCGCCTAGAGAAGAAGGAAAGGGGCCTAACTCAGGAGCACAGGAGAACTCACGTCAACCAACGTTCAGCTCACCGAAGGAGAGAAAGCTGTTCCCAGATCAAGAAAGAGAAGGAGCAGAAATGCTAGAAAACAAGATGTGTAGTATTGTTGAGTGACAGTTTTACGCGGAGGAGTAGAGGACTGTGAGGCTAGAAAGATCAGACAAAAAGGAAATAATTTAGGGGTCTGAATTTAATCTACAGACACTAAACTCTAAGCCCAAAACAATATTGAAGGTCTATGCAAAATAATGAGAGAATCAGATCTATGCTTTATAACTCTACTAAAGTGTGAACTAACCACATGTATTTTTTTTGTTGTTGTTATTTAATTTTGTTTTATCTATTTATCCTGAGCCCCATCCACCAGGCAATGTTGGTAGTTAAACTATTCCAGTCAAGATGTGCTATGGTTCCTCCTCTTATTATTCCTTCAGAAGAAAACACCCTTTCAGGATCTGGATAATCTTCTTAACCTCTTTGTAGGAAAAATGAATGTCTCTAAACATTAAATCCAAGTCTTAGGAGCACAGAACACAAAACTTCCTCATTACATATACTTTCTAATCTGAAGACTGAAAGGGAATTAACGGAAACCTCTTTAGAAGGAAAACACATAGCTAGTCTTGAATCTATTGGGGTTGGGTAGAAGGCAGATGACAGCTATGATCGTATTATTAGTTTCTAAAACGTTAAGAGTTTTGACCTTAATGTTGAAACCTCGGACTTTATAATTTTAAAAAATAATGAAATTATGGTTGCATTCATGCCCTAAATAAAATAAATTGTATACCATTACTCATATTCAGGGCTTCCCTGGTAGCTCAGACGGTAAAGCATCTGCCTACAATGCGGGAGACCCGGGTTCAATCCCTGGGTCGGGAAGATCACCTGGAGAAGGAAATGGAAAGCCACTCCAGTACTCTTGCCTGGAAAATTCCATGGACCGAGGATCCTGGTAAGCTACAGTCCATGGGGTCCCAAAGAGTCGGACACGACTGAGTGACTGCACTTCACATCTTCACTCATATTCATAACTTAGGAAGTATACATAGGAAGAGGTAAAATATATGATCTTTCCCCATATCATTTTACAAGCATCTATTAGAATGGATCTAAATAAATTAACTCCTATCTAAATTTACCTTAAAGATTACTTTTCTACTTAACATTTGCAAACGACATGCTTATTATAAAAACAATGGCAATGTTTCCTAACAATCAAATTATTGGTAAAGTGCTTTCAGACAGAGATGCTAAATGAAGGCCCCATACACACTGAAACATTTTAGTTCCCACCAACTTAGACCAGATGTAAAAATATCAAAATGCATAAGCAATGCCAGAACTTTCTCTGGACACAGAATTCTAGGACACTGACAGAGCCTTTCTATATGCCTAGAGTTTTCAATCAGCTTCATGTCTGACTCTTTGTGATCCTATGGACTACAGTCCACCAGGTTTCTCTGTCCATGGGATTTTCCCCATAAGAATACTGGAGTGGGTTGCCACTTCATGCTCCAGGAAGTCTTCCCAATCCAGGGATCAAACCCACAGCTCCTGCAGGGGGATTCTTGACCACTGAACCATTGGGAAAACCATAATAAATGGTAGGATTGTTGTTAGGTATAAATTTCTAAATTTATGTTATGATTAACCTCCAGAATGTGAGACTCTTGAAACATTCATTTCAATAATCCCAAAGCATATTACTGTAGTTTCAGCATGAAAATTGTTGACTTGCTGTGTATTTTAATATCTTAATCTGCAGCTAAATCTGTTTTTCTCTACCAAATTAAATATATTAAAGTATTATTGAGTTTCAATAAAGCTTAAGAGTAAGATATCTTCTGGTTTGAAGTAGTTGCAGATTTAACCTAATCAATGAAAAAGCATGTCAATTCATAGTTTCACCAACTTTTAATAGTAGATCTATTATATCAGTGGTACACCTTGTTAATGCCAGTCCTAGTTTCATTAGTATTTGCTGAGAAAAAAACATTTTTGTCCTTAGTATTTAAACACAAATGCAACCATATCTATAAACCTCATTAAAATCGGTCAATTTCCTAAGACTTAATAAATTCCTGTTTCCATGGACCTGAATGACTCACACAAAAATCACTCTCCACACAGGGTCATTTTGGTAATATCTCATCACATGCTGTCTGGCCAAATTTGTTTCCTAATTGGATATTCCAAGGCTCCTAGAAACTTTGAGAAAACAAGGTAAGCTTTCTGATGCAAATCAACTTCTTGGCAGTTCATTTGTTCTTTTATTGTTAGTCCGTTTTAAATTTGAAGGACAAAAACTTCCTCTCTTCTAAAGGATTCCAAGATACACTTTAATTTGTAACCATGGACCTGTCAATTATCTTAAAATAAGTATAGCAACCATTAGAACCCTGGAGGGGAAGCCTAGGTTTATTTAGGCAATACCCTTTGTTAGACTATCTAGGTAATGATAGGATAAAACCTCCCAAACACACTACAGAAATTTACAAGGAAAGGGGCAAATGAGGTGAACCTCCACTTCGTCGGGTACTTCTGACAGGAAAGGAGGATGGAAAGCAGGATATTGAAGGGCAGAACGTATAGTATTCAGGCTAGGAGGCTGGTGCTGCAGAAAGATATCATATGTTCAGTTACTCTCTGAGTCATAAGCAGAGTCCATTCTTATTACTGCATTCCTCTCTCTGCTTCAGAACTCAAGCTCTCCGGCTGCGATTGTTCTTGCCACGGGTCTTCATGCTCTGGTTCTTTCTTCCATTTTTGTGTGACTGTGTTCAATAAAACATAACACATTCAGCCCATCCCAGGCAACTCATATATAATATTCATTAGGCAGAATGGTCAACAATAAGAAACCATAAACTGTGAGTGAGTGCTAGGAATAAGTAGTCTGAATGAAGATTCCAGAATGCTGGGTGTGTTCCTTCACAGGCTCACAAAGCCAGAGTGGTAGTGGGAGACCAAACTGGTTGGAGTGCACTTTATAATAACTTTGGTTTTTAGGATATATAAGTATAAAGGAGTTTAACTCAAACTTCTGTGTTTGAACATTCAATTTGATATTTCCACATAAATCTATATTCTGTCATTGTAATGATTTACAAGAAAGTGTGATACTAAGTAAAGAATACAGAAAGAGTTGTTGAATGGTAATTGCGATTGCCTTCAGTACAATCAGTCTTCATCATCATCACAGTCAACACATACTGAGAGGTCTTATTACAAAACCAGTATTTTCATAAATGTTCTATGTATGTGCCAAATCCTGTAATCCTCAGGAAAATCCTCGTCTATAAATGAAGTGAAACACACAGACATTAACTTGTGCAAGTTCACATAGGCAAGACTGGGATTTCCATCTAGTTTCAGCTTCTGTTTTAACTAGGAGCATAAATCTGTAGGCAAAAGGAATGTCTTGAAGGTATTAGGATATTTTTTGACATAATTTATATCCCTGAGATACTGGAGTTTCAACAGCCTTTTTTAATACTACAAGTCAATCAAGTTGGGTAGGACTAGAGAATATTTAAGCAATGATAGCATAAATTTCTCTAGATTCTCTCTGTACCCAAGGGCTTCCCCAGTGGCTCAGCAGGTGAAGAATCTGCCTGCCACGCATGAGATGCAGGAGACCTGGGTTCAATCCCTGGGCTGGGAAGATCCCCTGGAGGAGGAAATGGCAACCCATTCCAGCATTCTTGCTGGGAAAACCCCATGGACAGAAGAGCCTGCTGGGCTACGGTCCATGGGGTTGCAAAGACTCGGACACGACTGAAATGTCTGAGCACACACTTATACCCAAGTTTAATATAAGAGCATAGAGAATTTTATGTGTATATTCTTACAGCACCAAGATAAATATGTACTAAACAGAAAAGCTTCATGTTTTACCATAAGAAGCTGAAATTTGACTAGGAGGTCAGAGAAATTATGTGTTTCACATACCACCAAATGGTATATGCAACTTACAAAATGTTTTTGGTGTTGTGCTAACAGTATATAGGAATATGTTAAGCCATATTTACGGTCTGTGCCTCTTCCACTGTTAAACATGAAAAACAATCAAAGGCTTGATCTTTCTGATGGATAAATTACCAAATGCTTTAGAACTATAATTTATCCATGATTCCCCAGAAGTTCTCCAGTGACCTACCTTAAGGAATGAAATTTTCTTCATTCTTGAGTGGAAAGACTATATGTAAACTTTCACTATTAAAAAAAAAAAGTTCAACTGTGAAAAACAACCCAAGGTCTCTAGATCTTTAGAACAGTATATTTAGTATAATAGGCATGTAATACATATTTTGGAATACTTTTTTGACTAAATGAATGAGTGAATGAATACACACTCAGCCCCTTTGCTAATGTATCTCTCTGTTTAAAATAGGTATGTTTGTATGATGGTGTATATGCTTATAAGCTATTTGATCACCATAACTAACTGCAAGGTAAATTTTATCATGCATCATAAAAATAAGCAGTCTCTATACAAGGCCAGAATTCTAAACAAAAATAAAACAAAAACTCAGCTACTGAACATCAAAATCTGGAATAAATACAAGCATATAAAAGTCTACTGAATTTAACAGCTCTTACTCAAAGTTTCTCAATATAAAATAACCAAACAACCAAAAGTTAAGATAATTGTCTATCATATTTTAAATTTTAGATATGGAGAGGGGGGGGAAGTATAGCACCCCTTTTTGAAATAAAGCATTTTTTTGTGGATACACTTCTTTTGGTGGGGGACAATGAGTTTTCTTATTTTTGTCTCCGAAGACTTTTCACATTTTATCAGCAGTGAGAATAAAGAGGAATAAATGAGCTTAATTTTACACAACCAGTTTAATTTTACACACAAAAAATTCCTTTTTTAATTTCAACATATATTGCTTTTGTTCTTATTTTCTTGCTCAACCTTGTGATCAGTTCTGTTGGCAATGAATTAACCCTCCAAAATAACTTGAGAATTTAACTGAAGATAATTTTTAAAAATCAAGAATGTAGAAAAAATAATTAGATAACACGCTAAGACAAGGAGATGAACTATGCAAACAATCTTTTATCTGTGGCATTTGTGCACCAAGGTTGAGGATTAGAACATCTTATTTTGAAGATGTGAGCAAGGAAATGCTTGTATTCACTATCATGCACAAGCTTCACTCACAGTGATAAAACAGAAGAAAATGCAAAACGCTGAGAAGCTACTCAAGTTGTCTCTTGATATAAACCAACTAGCCATGCATAAAGAGAACACAGTTCAATTCAACACAGATGTTGAATCTGAGCTTCAGCTTTACAATGAACAAAAAAGGCATTTTTCAACACATATAAACATCTCTATAAATGGAAATGTTGTACTGGGCTAGAATTGTACTAAATGACATATAACAGATCAAATTTTAAGATATGATTATCCTTGAAGAATTACTTTGTAAAAATAAATACAGGAAACCTCATTTAAAAACAAACAAACATAACTAAACAAAGCCAGAGACATTGATACAGAGAAAATACAGATAGTTACTAAAGAAGAGGGGGTGGAGAAGGAGAGAAACAGGTGAGGGAGATTAACAGTACAAATTTTCAGTTACAAAATAAATGAGCCACATATGTGAAATGTATATTGTGGGGAATATAGTCAACAATTATGTATCTTTGTATGGTGACAGATGATAACTAGACTTATCCCAGTGATCATTTTGAAATGTATAGTATATGGAATCACTATGTACCAGAAACTAACATAATGCTGTAGGATTAATTAATACTTCAAAAACAAACAAACTCATAGAAACAGAGATCAAATGCGTGGTTACCATAGGCAGGTAGAGAAGGGGGTAAGAGAGGAATTGGATGAAGGTGGTCAAAAGGTGCAAGCTTCCAGTTATAAATAAGTACTCAGAATGTGATGTACAACATGATAAATGATGTACAACATGGTAATTAACATAGCTGTATGTTATATATGAAAGTTGTTAAGACAGTAAATCTCAAGAATTTTTATCAAAATATTTTTCTATTTCTTGAATACTGTTATCTATTTAAATGATGGATGTTCACTTTATTATTGTGGTGACCATTTCATGTGTATGTTAAGTCAAATCACCGGGCTGCACACCTTAAACTTGAACAGTGCTGTATGTCGATAATATTTCAATAAAACTAGAAGAAAACATAAAGTTGGGAAGCTCTAAGGAGGAGCTCTCACCACGTATTACTCACCGCAGGTCACACACTGCGGCAGGAAGAAAGGTTCCCTCTGACCCGGCAACAAGCGGCCCACCGCCTGCAGCCAGAGAAGAGCCGCCACCGCTTCCCCAGTCTCCTCCTGATACCGACAAGGTCATCTGTCTCCTCGGACTTGCTATAGTTTGCCACAGTTTGCATGACCCAAACTGCAAATTTCTCTGATCTTCCCAAATAAATTTATTTTGCTGGTAAAATAACTGGCTCTTTTGTTTTTCAAGGTAAACAAACTTGAGGAATAGTTCTACACTGAAGCTTTCCCTGGCCCCTTTAGCACACACCACCTTTCTCTAACCCTCTCTCCTCTGGTTACACACCAGTCACCTCTCTCTGCCCACCCCCCCCCACCCGCCACATACACACACTACTGGAATATGCCTATACTAGAATTTCATTCCTAGATAGTGGTTTCAGTTTGTATTTGATCACCCCATGATGGCACAACCCTCAGCACAGACTGCAGAGCTGAGCATTAATCAGAAGTCACATTAATTAACAAAAATTGATGGATCAATTATGACTTCTTAATATTCTTATGGAAAATTCCTCCCAGAAAGAAGATATGCTAGCATAGGGTAAAATTAGTGGTTTTCAGAATGACTTTCTATTGTCTGTAATTATATTCTATAGCCTCCCTATAACTTTACACATTATGTCATTAGTATCCATTCTATTAGAAGAGTTATCTTTAACAACTTTTTCCCAATAATCTTTAAACGTCCTGGTACAGCATTCAAACTAAACCAAATCCCTTCCCAGAGAGTTTCTTTTCACAGCAGGACTCTGGTATGTCAATAGATTTAAATAATCAATGTATTCTGCCACATTCAATTCCTGGGCAATTTATATTTTGTTTATATCACTGTGTTCCTATTGGAATAAAATAGAAGCACCATTTAACACTGCTTATTCTTTTCTCTTCTTCCAAATTGCTACTTTTTAAACATTTATTTTGACCTTAGAAGACTCTGGCAGAAGACGAGCTTTATAGAGACAATAAAGTATGATAATGAGACCTAAGACTGACTTGACCAACCTCAAAATACTTTTTTTCTATAGATTTACAGCTTTTGTAATAATTTGGTTGCTGGGGATAGTTTGCTAAACATTTTATCTGCAAACAGCCTGATTCACTTCTTGTAATAAATTTCCTCAGCTATCCTGGAAAACTCTAACAATAAAAATTTCCATGGCAGGTAATGAAGTTATGCCTATATAATAGCTTGAGACTATGAGAACTATTTATACCTAAGAAGAGAGAAACATAAATGCTTCATGGAAATACAACAGATCACCAGCCCAGGTTGGATGCATGAGACAAGTGCTCAGGCCTGGTGCACTGGGAAGACCCAGAGGGATGGGGTGGAGAGGGAGGTGGGAGGGGGGACCGGGATGGGGAATACATGTAAATCCATGGCTAATTCATTTCAATGTATGACAAAAACCACTGCAATGTTGTAAAGTAATTAGCCTCCAACTAATAAAAATAAATGGAAAAAAAAT